AGGTCTATGATCTTGATTCCATTTTTTTCTAATCTTTTAATCTTCCACATGCCTTATCTTGGAATTTATATTTACTAGTATTTTAACAAAATATTTTTTCTACCTTATAACCTTTATAGACTTGATTAATTTCCTTTTTATTGTGTTGTTGAACAAGTACTCATTTCTTTTCCATTGGACTAGGTTCTAATCAGATGTTTTCACAGATGATTGATTTTCTTTGCATTGAGATAAAGGCCACATAATCTAGATGTTTTTTCAGCTAGGCACAAACCATGAAACAAGATCACTTTGTATTATATCACTTGATTCAGCTGAATTTACTTGTGTTCTTTCATTGGACTAGAATGATCTCAGAATAGAACTCTGTACCACTATTGTCTGCGATCTCTAAGGCTTCTACAGGATATCACAGTTAAATTAATCTGTTAACAGACATGGGTAGCCTCAGTACAATGATCAAGTTCTCCTTTACATGGAGAAGTTAGCAGCTAGCTAATTTCCTAGTGTTTTTTTTTTTTTTTTTTTTTAACATCCATTTAAAATAGCATTATCATAACATTAACAGTTTCTAAAACAGTATTTTGGTAACACATGGTATGCATTCTTGCTCTGTGGTGATTTGTCACAGAAACACACAGTATAAACTTGAAGAAACCAGATAAAAAAATTCTGTGCAGTGCTGAATGTTTTCTGTTGGGCTGATTTTTTCCAAATTGTTCATCTGTGTTATACTGACTGTTGTTGGCAATAAAATAACACCCTTTCCTTTTCTTGCTTTTCTTAGAAAAAATATTTATAGTAAATACTATGAAGGAGATCATCTAACTGTGAAACAAAAATATGAATACATATGTGAACCTTTGAGTGTATGCTATTTAGACTCATTTTTTTCTTTCTTAAGGATTATAAATATCTATGCTTTAAATCTTGTGACAAAATTCTAGTTTATCTAGCCTCCCAATTTCAACTAATGATAATGCTAACAAGACTTTATTTAATTATAACTCTTTCATTGCTCTCATTACAACCAGTGTTTTTTATCTTTTCTTTTTAATGTATTTTTTAATATACAAACTTAATTTGAGTTGCATACACCATTTTTACTGTTTTTTTCTTTAGATTTTCCTTGATTTAGAGCCCTTATTTTGTTTACATAAAAGAATAATATTGTTCTGTGTCTTTATAATAAAATGGTGATCAAAAAGAAGTCAGTGATGAGAAGTACTTGAATCCACCTTTTACAAGTGGAAACACACTGTATTATATTTATGTAAGCTCTGTTGCTTAGTAGTCCAAGAACACACATATATATATTTTTCTATTTCAAATTACAGCAAAGCTCTTTCTTAGTAGCCATTGTGAAATAAATCACATGGTGTCCAATTGTGGCCAAATTTATTTTGAATGTTATTAGAGAGCTTTTTTCTTTTTTTCCCCCTTGTCTTTTATGAAGAAGATAATGAATTCTTCATTACAAGTGCATTTGCAGACATTTCAGATCATTAATATTTTATTTCATTTTGTTAGAGAACAATCCCTCAGACTTTTCTATTTTTTCCTTTCAATTATTTTTGTGTTGATATTCTTGAATGTTATTTTCCATTTTCAATTTCACACATCAAAAATAATTTAAACTAGAGGTAAGAATAATTTGGATGACAATAAATGTTGTTTTTAAAATGCAGTTATTTACTCTCACTTTGATTGCTCTCATTTCAGGACAATCATCCTTGATAGAAAGTCATGATAGAATCCCTTTCTTATAACCTAAATGAATTCAGAGTAGACACATTTTCTTTAAAAAGTGCCTCTGCATGAGGATTTATTTAAGAATCTTTCTTGGAGAAAATGTGTATAGTTGACAGTGCTTATTCAATGGCTTTTGCTTCAAGCATTTCAAGCAGTAATAATGGTGTTATGGGGAAGGTGATTTTTGTTTATTTGTTTTTTTATTAATTGAAGCCTGTCCACTTGAAAGAGTATGTTTATTCATAAATCTAAATTGAAATTGCTTAAATTTTAAAGAATATTTTTAAACATTATGCAAACAGTTCTGACCAACCTCACTTTTTGATATGGTGTAGTAAATTTGGGGGAGTCATGTTTTCAGGAACAAAGGATAACATTAAATTTAGAACAAGACTAAATTAGTATAAAACAGTTGCTTGTCTTTGCAAATCACTTGGCTTAAATATTTTATCTCTAATCGTTTATCATTGTCCTTATGAAATATTTCGGTAGAAGTGATCATTTAACTGAAAGCTATGATGATCGTATGTTTAGTGCTTTCATGTTTTCCTGGGTATACCTGACAATCAATTTTATAATATTTGTCTGTATGTAAACTCAACCTTGAAGAAATAAAACATATTTTTACATGGAAATTTTCAGGAAAAAAAAAAAAAAAAACCAAACAAACAAAGAAACAACTATATTCAATATTTAAAATGTACAATAAACATTGCCAGAGACAGACCTGAGGAAACTTGGGGGTAAATAAGAGCTATCACATGTGGTGCTCCCGACAATAAATGAACACTGAATCCTATCAAAGCTATGTGAGGAACTGTATTAAATTGCAAGTAAAATCTATGAAGACAAGTATATATATATATATATTTGGCAGTGTAAGACTCTAAAAGGAACATCGGGAACCACTGAGTGAGGGCACAACATAAGAATTCCAAACATATTAGACGGGTATTACGGTAAATCATTGGTGAAATTTCTCATCAAAAGTTTTTCCATAACAAAATATTGTAATTATTTAATAATAAAGTAGTAACATAAAGACTATTGTAGTCCTCATCCAACGAAGTCAGAGAAAGGATAATAAAGGAAGACTGGATTGGAGCCCTTAATTTTTGCAGTATATTTATATGTATTTAATGAAGTGTAAAAATACAGAAATCAAGGTTTGTTGTAATGATCTTCTAGGAAAATATGCAAGAATGTATGGACGAGCTAGGTGTCTCAGTGAAGGAAATCTGTCTGTCCTTACAGGATAAAGGAGACATAACAGCATGCTGATTATACTACTTTTCTGCTATCATACACATTGAATTCTTCTCCATGTAATACAGTGTTGCATGGAATGAGAGCTAAAAGCAAAACTCCTGTTAAGTAAATTGATTTCAAATAGACTATGGGATATGTGACTGTAAATATCTGAGCAATTCAGAGAACAGACGTCTAGGGTCTCTGTATACGAATATTCCAAGATATCTAGGAACTTCATATTGTTCTGTTTGAGATGGACATGTCTGAGATTTTTTACATTTTCAGGTATAAATGTTTGAATTTAAAGTTTGCATAAATAATTTTATTCAATTTTTCAATTCAATATTGGATAATATGTTTGAAGTAGCTACTGCTGGTAAAGGAATTCCAGGTGTTTTGAGAACTCCAAAACCACTGAACTGAACAGTTGATGTAGACAAATTTTAATTGTCAGAATTTAATTTATTAGATGATGAATGTTCTTTCTTTAGCAGATAGAGTTCCCAAGGTAGCTGTTTTCTTTGCCTTCTTTTTATCTATATGTAATTAAGGTAATCATTTTCTTCTAGCAACACAGTCCAAGCTCTTAGATAATCTACTGTGACAATTATGCCCATCATTATAAAGTTCCTTCTTATACCTAACCTGAATTTCTTTTGTTAAGATTTAAGGCCATTAGCAATTGTCCCATCTACAGAAAATAACTTCTCATATTCCAGTTTGCAACCACTTTGTATGTGTTGAATACTTTGATCACTCCGCAGTGAATCCAGTATTCTTTAAGAGGAGCAAAAAATTCAACAGAGAAACAAACATCTTCTGAACACATTTCTTCTGAGAGCAAATGGTCTCCTTGCTTTCTCCCTTGCATTTTGGGTAAAATCCTGCATGCCAGCATTCTGGTCTTATATAGACAAAAAAAGCTTAAATCATGGGTTACCTCAAGATACAGGTTTACATTGGAAATGCTGACAGATCCTTAGTAGAGCTGTCACATGCCTGTGGAATGAAGTGCCTTTAACCCCACTGAATGCTGATGTGGAGATTTAGGGCTCTATGAATTCTATTAAGTTACCCTGGAGAGTTTATCTGAGACTTGTATTCGGTGCAGTAATTGCATCTACTATCATTTTTCTTACCTTTGTTCTTATTTTTTATTTTTGTATAAAATGGGAAAAACCTTTCTAAAGCATGAGTACAGACTAAGTCATATATTGAATCTTTCACATAGTAATTGAAGATTTGTTGTAAACCCAACCATTTGTTTGGTTTATATTTTCCTTCAGCTTTGTATTTGAGAAAGATCATCCTAAATAAGGAGATGTTAAAGCCTTGCATTTTCCTAAATATTTCTTCCTATAATTATGAATATTCTGATGATTATTTTAAGTTATTTACTGCCCTATTTCCACATCACTTTATGAGGAGAAATCATGTCATAGTCTAAATTATAAACATATGAAAATAAATGTTTAATGAAATTAAATTCAGTTTTCACGGAACATATGCCATAGAATTCACTTTTTGAGTTAACTTTTTGTCTGTTTTTGCCACAGTGTTAAAAATGGAAGCATATAACTTGAAGCAGTAGGGCAGACATTTTTTTTCTCTCTTAGTGTGTTTTCTACACTTCGTCTATGAAACCAATGAGAAAACAGTTAAGAGTTCATATCAAGAGAAACATAAAAACTGTTTGTTAAAGAACTTGATTGATTAGGGATTTTAATTAAAATTTTATTTTTGTTCAGTTGTTAAATCACATTTTTATTGTGTTATGAGAGGCTTACTGTATTCATCCAAACAATGCATTTAGTATTAATGCATTATGTAACTTGTTAATGAGACTTATAGGCAAAAGTTAAGAGAATTCTACTTTTCATTTCATTCTTTTTACAGGGAGAGTAATCATTATAGTATAATAATTTAGATAAGAAGGATTAGAAAAGGAAGATATGAGGGGGCATTCAATATTTGTTCTGTCTTTTCAAATTTTACAGGAAGAGCCATATGTAATGTTCAAGAAGTCAGATAAACCTTTGTATGGAAATGATCGATTTGAAGGTTATTGCATTGACCTCCTCAGGGAGCTGTCTACTATCCTTGGATTTTCCTATGAGATTAGACTGGTGGAGGATGGAAAATATGGAGCCCAGGAGGATGCCAGTGGACAGTGGAATGGAATGGTTCGTGAATTAATTGATCATGTAAGTTAATTTTTGAGGCTTTCTACTATCCATTTAGATTTCAATATTATCTGTACAAATTATAAAACATTGTACAGTAGGACCATTTGAATAGTGGTGCCTTGGAGAATGTTTAAAAGATTAATGCATGATTAATCCATGAGTAGATCCATGATTTTTTTCCTCCGAATTCTGTTTGTTAAACCAAGACTATTCTACATCTTTATTTTGTCAACAGGCAGTGTTTAATTTCTGCCAAATGAGTTTTGCTCTTCTATGGCATATTTCTAAATAGTACTCAGAACTCCTTTTGGTGAACAAATATCTCTTGTTTATTTTTTTTCTGTTTGTTTTTTTTTTTTCTTGGTGACATAATACATATTTTCATTAATCCATAGAAGTCAGATCTCCTCTAATAGTGGATCTGAGACACATGAATTATTTGATAAACACAGAAGAGAGCATATTACTTGAAACTTCGGCAATTAAGTGCAAACCATAAGATAGCAACATATACTGATGCAGTAAAGTAGTGAAATGTGCTTTAAAACAAATACCATTACAATTACTTAGATCAGACACTAGTTTCTGTCCTTTCAGTGGTGGTCCTGCCAGTTGAATTCAGCTTTTTAGACTCATTTTAGATTGTAATTTTTTTGAGAATTATGTTGTTTTGCCTTTTAGCATTTATCTGGGTGAATTACTTAATAGAGAGACATTTGATCAAAGAATTTAAAATAATACATATTCTGCACATCAGTGTCACTTTAAATAGGTAGAATGGGAGATTATTTTATTGCTAATTCAAGTGAACCTTCCTAATGATGGCAGAAACTGTGTGGATAACTTGAAGATTAATTTTCACTAATCCTTTATTTTAAGATTTCAGCATATGAGCAGAGCATGTACTAATCAAAATATTCTGTTTACTAAGAGGGCTTTCATCTTTCTACTTTACTTTTCTAGTAAATAATAATCTGATATTTCTGTTGCAGCAGATGTTGATTATGTCTAGTTTCTAACTTTTAGTATAAATGTGTGGGAGTATTATATTATCTTTAAATAAGTGTATGTACTGTACCTCATGCACATACATATAAACTAAACAGATATTTTGCTAGACTCTTTCCACCTCTATAAATGTACAAATTCACACATGCACAATGCATAGGCATATGTAGTTATTAGATTTGGCAGTTGTTAGATATTATCATCTGAAATAATTTTTTAACAATTAGGATCAATGGTGAGAAAATATTTCCTACATAATTCCTTAGAGGCTCAGAAAAAAAACTTATTTTGTAATGGGTTATTATTAATCCCTGAAGTTTTCTTCAACTAGCACTGGCGTAGCCTCGTAAACTTGTGTGAAGGTAATCTCAAAATAAAACACTTTTAAGGATGTTGCAACAGTAAGAGTTATAGGACAGCTTTTCCAGTCCTTTCCTCTTGGTAGCATAGAACGGAATGTGTTCATCTTTCTCCTGGCATAAAATTAAACTTAGATTAAAGTGTTTTTTCCCCTTTCAAATGCTGCTTACGTAAGAATAAAAATAGTTTAGGTAGTATACTAAGTGCATTTTGGAAGATGTAGTCTAATGTCTTGTATCATATCAAGATGAGGGTGTTGAGCCACACTGTGTATTCCATTCCCATGCTATGCTGAATCTTCACAGAAAAAACTCTTCGATTTCTAACTTTTTTTTTGGTCTTTGTGTGAATAGGTATTACATTGCAAATGTTCTCAAATTTTTAACTAACAATTTTAACAAAAAGTTGGGTTTTTTTGAAAATTAAAAGGAAATCAGTTTAATAATTTTAAATACTTTTATAAGTATCTCTCTAGACTGGACTTCCAATAGTTTCTTGATTTCCCAATAGTTAGAATTTTCCTTCTAAATTTTATGTATTTTTATTCATTCTTATCCTATAATTTATTAGAAATACATGCATTACATTATTCATACATTTGTGCCATTTCTGTTCATCATTGCATATTACTGATATGTTTTATTAGTAAGCAACATTTCTAACCTGAGTACTGATAGGTAAGAATTTAGAATATTCCAGACAGACAGTTACCACATTTGATGCTTCATTTTTTTTAGTCCTTTGCAGATCAGCTTAGTTTTCACTTTCTTTTCCTGTACAGAATATTTAATAAAGTGTCAAAAATATTCTTTTGTACAAAGTGAGATAATGAACTGATTTTTATTTAATTTTGATTAGTTTAAATACTTATCATATTTCATTAAAATGATTCAACATACATTTTTTAACCTGTGTCTAATTAAGTAAAAAGACCACAAAGTAAAAATGCAGTTATCAAAGTTGCAGAGTATCTACATGCATTTACAAAATATATTTAAAATTTATTTTTATCTATTTGTTATATTTGAACTGTCAGTCAGTTAATATTTGAAAGAATGGATAGCATGCCATAGTAAATATATTTACAAAGGTAGTTTGTAACATTTGTAACTCAAGAAAAAAAATTATGTGTGTAGGAAGGAAGATTCAAAATGTATTAGATAAACAGTACCAAAATTAATCTAGGTGTTCAAATAAATTGCATTTAATTGCTTTACATGGTTGTACGTACTCAAAAATTTAAGTGAAATGAACTTAGCTCAGCATATCATGTAAGTCTCAGGCTTGAAATTATGTAGCATGAAAAGAGAATGAAGGCTGCATTAGGCTTTTTATGTTTTCAATCCATTTCCCCATTTTACTCCTTTTCTTTCTTTCGCTGTTACATATGTTGTTTTCAAATGCCATAATCCTGATGTTAGTTTCCAAACAATGACTAGTTTCCTTCTGAATAAATGATAAATATTTTGAAAGTGAAAAATGAATTCAGTAATCACTGACATGTTCCCTTTGACAATTGAAGGAAAATGAATTCTTTCTGGAAAAGACAGTGGTATCTATAACAGCAAATTGAAAAGAAATACCAACTAGAACAGCAAGACGAGATTTTTCATTCTAAATGGAATTTCTCCAGTTAGGGTGCCTGATTTATTTGCCACAATGAGAATACTTTTTTTTTTTTTTTTTTTCCATCCATATTTTCATCTGGTTAGTTTAATATAAAAATTTGAGATATTCAGGGCAAATGGGTGGGGAGTGCTAAAATCCAGGTATTTCCATCGTTTTTGGATACATACTTCATAAGGAAATATTCTTTATAGTGACTTGAAGTCTTTGTCCTTGCATTCAAATTAGGATAGACTTACTGAATTACTTTTGGACTGGAGATTATGAATTCTGCAGATTTTAAGTTTGTCTGTGGTGCTGAAAAATTTTTATGGAAGTGCATCATATAAAATGAGATAGTGTAAGTGTGTAGATTATTTTTCACTGTAGACAGCAGATACTGTTAGAATAAAAGTATGTAATTGTACTTCTATTATACCCATCTGTTTTATAATTCCAGAAGTATTTCAAAACACTCTTATCGTTGGGTTCTAAAACAAGTAAATAACTGCTATGTTAAACTTCCCCAGAGATATAAATAAAAGTTAAAAATCCACTGGGAAGTAAAATGTTACTATAACACACCACTGAAAATAATCTTTTTTTTCCATGACTGTTAGAATGGTTCTTCTACAGTTCAAAGCTTTTGCATTGCAAGTTGTCTTTAAGGCTTGCAGATCTTTTTTGATTCATGAATAGTTATATAAAAGGTCCAGCTTTTAAATAAGGACTACACTTTTATTATATGTAAGAATTTAATGGGAACTTCCTTTCATTTCATAGAAGAGTAGAATTTTCAGCATGGAAGAAGGTAAGATTTATGCAGTTGGGCAATTGGAAAGCACTACTTAATTTGAATTAGATTTAGACATAGACTTGAACTTCAGTATCGTTCCTATTTTTTAAAATCAGTACCTTACACAGTAATAAATGTTTACACATGAAATTCTTACAATTATAAAATTAGTAGCAGTGACAAACATATTAGTGGCCTTCTGTTTTCTCAATAACAAAATACTTTCTGATATTTATATAGCAGGTTTAAAATACTCCTGGAGACATCTTCTGACAATAACTTTTTATTTTGCTACTTTTTCCATCTGATTTCAAGTACTTACGTTATTGAAGGATAGATCCAAAGATTTTTATTACTATATGAAAGTTAATGAACGCTTCAAATAGGCAACTATACAGATTCTTTTGGTTGCTTCCTTTTTAAGATGAATTCAAGTTTCTTCCATTTCTTTTCTTCCTTCCCTTCCATAATTCAGTTTCATCACATTGGAGCATACTACTTCTCTTCACATTCATAAAAATCTCTGCCCAATAGAGCTTTCTTAGGAACTGTTAAGGAGTTCTGTTGTCTCTTGTCCCTAATGATAGATACAGTCTTCCTCCTTGTAATTTTCATGCAAAAGATCTAGCTGACTTTCAGTACAATGCATGACAGTTTAGTCATTTGTCTTCCTTCATTAATGAAAATCTCTTAAGATTTGACAATAAATTAAGAGATTGCAGGGAGAAAGAAAGACTGAGCATTTTGACTATTTGCACCAACATTGTATGTTCTGGAAAATAAAGCCTGATTTATTGCTAGTGCTCTTTGTAACACTGTACCTGCTTTTCAGTTTCATCATTTTACCCATGAACATATCATACCTTGAGGCATTTCCAAAGCTCTCTCTAACACTTAATCCCTACTCTGTGTATTGTCTTCAATTTTTTTATGAATGATTCTCCTAATTAATGTACTGACACTTATGCATATGCTCCTACTTATTGAATACTTTTATTAGACCATTTTCAAAATATTTCCCCACAGAGGATCACTGGATTTTAACATCTTAATTTAATTATTTTATTTTATTTTTGTCAAATATGTTACATTACTTCTTCCTTATTGCATTTCTCAGAACAATTTAGTTACTTTTTCCACAATATGCCCTGGATTTTTCCTAGGTAATGTTCTGCTAGTTTTCATCATCTTGTTCAAACAATAAGAATATTTCACAAGACAATCTAGTTATTACTGCAGAGGTAAAAAA